TAGTATTTCGTTTTAGTTTGCAATTCCCAAATGACATATGTTGAGTATCTTTCATATTATTATTGCCAATACTGTATCTTATTTGACGAGGTGTCCCTTCGAATCTTTTGCCCTACTCCTAATGGGTTGTTTGGTTTTTTATTGTGAAATTTTAAGAGTTCTTTGTATATTTAAGATATGTATCTTACCAGACATGGGTTTTGCAAATATTTTCTTTGAGTCTGTGTCTTTTCATTCTCCTAAAAGTATCTTTCTCAGAACAGAACTTTCAAATTTTTAAGGTAGTCCAGTTTACCAGTTTTTTCTTTCTGGATCATTCTTTGGTGTTGATCTGAAAACTCATTGCAAAACCCAAGGTCACCTAGATTTTCTCCTATGTTATCTCCTAGAAGTTTTATAGTTTTGACTTTACATTTAGGTCTGTGATCCATTTTATTTTATTTTATTTTTTATTTGAGAGCGAGAGCACACATGCGAGTGCAAGCAGGGGGAGGAGCAGAGGGAGAGGGACAAGCAAACTCCACACTGAGCGCAGAGCCCAACGCGGGGCTCCATCTCACGACCCTAAGATCGTCGCCTGAGCCGAAACAAAGAGTTGGATGCATAACCAGCTGAGCCACTCAAGCACCCCATCAATTAATTCTTAATCAGCACAATTGTTAGCATCTCAGGAAGGCTTCCCTGACTTCCCTGATGAGGGCTAATTAATTGCCTTCTTTGACATTCCTAGTATTTTCTACGTCCTTCTTACCATGTGGTTTTGAAATAACCTGTTTCTATGTGTCTTGCTACCCTAGGCAGATATGATTTCAGAGGACAGAAGCAGTGCATTAATATTTGTATAGTCTTAAGGCCCATTTGTTCTGTGTAGCTTAGAACCTGGCCTATATACTGGGCCCTCAATAAAAGATTGTTGAATTAGACTGACCACATCGGTGGTATACGTAGTTGTGGTTCATTTTATTTTATTATTTTTTTTTTTTTAAAGAGAGTTTTTTTTTTTAAGATTTTATTTATTTATTTGAGAGAGAGAGAGAATGAGAGATAGAAAGCAGGAGAGGGAAGAGGGTCAGAGGGAGAAGCAGACTCCCTGCTGAGCAGGAAGCCCGATGTGGGACTCGATCCTGGGACTCCAGGATCATGACCTGAGCCGAAGGCAGTCACTTAACCAACTGAGCCACTCAGGCGCCCTGTGGTTCATTTTAAATAAAAACATTTGTTTGAAAATCTAAATTTTTCATTCAGATTTGCAATTTTTTATAAATTTTGGATTTTTGTCTAGATCACTAATGATTTAAATTTTAATAATTTTTATTATGAAAAATAATCAAACTTACAGAATTGAAAGTCTGGTATAAAAACATTTTCCCTCTGAACCACTTGAGAGTATGTTGCAGAGTAAGTTGCCTTTGAATACTTCAGTGTGCATTTCCTACAAATAAGGACATTTTCTTTTATCACCACAATAGAGTGTCAAAATCAGGAATTTAACACTGATTAAGTACTGTCACCTAATCCTCAGACCTTGTTCAAGTTTCACCCACTGTTTTTTTTTAGCCGTAAGAGACTTTTTTAATTATCTATTGTTTTTAAAGATTTTATTTATTTATTTCAGAGAGAGAGTGAGTGAGAGAGAGAGCATGAGCAGGGGGAGGAGCAGACTCCCTGCTGAGCAAGGAGCCCGATGTGGGGCTCGATTCCAAGACTCCAGGATCATGACCTGAGCTGAAGGCAGACACTTAACCAACTGAGCCAGCCAGGTGCCCCTCACCCACTGTTTCAATAATGATCTACAGAATCCAGTTCAGAATTACATGTTACATTTGGTTGTCATGTCCTTTAAAGTCTGGACACTTCCTATCTTTCCTTGACTTCATTACCTTAACGCTTTTGAAGATTTCAGGCAGGTTATTTTGTAGCATGCTCCTCAGTTTGGCTTAATCAGATGTTTCCTCATAATTAGATGCAGGTTATGCATTTTTGGCAGGAACATTATAGAAGCAATAATATGTTCTTCTGGTATACTAGCAGGTGGTATATAGTTTCAATTTGTCCTGTCACTGATAATGTTCTTTTTTTCTTCATTGAGGTAAAATTGGTATATAACATTTTTATTGAGGTAAAATTGATATATGTCATTATATTAGCTTCAAGTGTATAAGATAATTTGATAATTGTATACACTGCAAAATAATTACCACAGTAAGTTTTGTTACCATCCATCACCATATAGTTGACCCCCTTCACCTGTTTTGTCCATCCCCTAGCCCCCTCCCTCCTTGATAACCCCCAGTCTGTTCTCTGTATATATGGTTTTGTTTTGTTTTCTTTTTTACATTCCACATATAAGTGAAGTCATGGTATTTGTCTTTCTTTGTCTGACTAATTTCATCTACCATTTAATACCTTCAAGGTCCATCCATGTTGTCACAAATGGCAAGATTTCATTCTTTTTTATGGCTGAGCAGTATTCCATTATGTATATGTATGTATGTGTGTGTGTGTATATGTGTGTGTGTATACACCTTCTTTATCACCACACCTTCTTTATCCATTCATCCATGGATGGATACTTAGGTTGTTTCCATATCATGGCTATCATAAACAACGTTGCAGCAAACATAGGGGTGCATATATCTTTTCAAATTAGTGTTTCCATTTTCTTAGGATAAATACCAAGAAGTGGAATAGCTGGTTCTTATTGTAGACTTCTTTTTAATTTTAACCTCCATACTGTTTTCAGTAATGGCTGCACCAATTTATAATCCCACCAACACTGCATGAAGGTTCTCTTTTCTCTCCACATCCTCACCAACACTTGTTATTTATTAGATTTTTCATAGTAGCTATTCTAACAGGTAATATCTCATGGTTTTAATATGCATTTCCCTGGTAATTATTGATATTCAACATCTTTTCACGTGTCTGCTGGCCATCTGTATGTCTTTGGGAAAAATGTTCAAGTCCTCTGCTTATTATTTAATCATATGTGGTTTTTGCTATTGAGCTGAGTTTTGTAATATATTTTGGATATTAACCTCTTATTGGATATATGTTTTACAAATATTTTCTCCCATTCAGTAGGTTGCTTTTTCCTTTTGTTGATGGTTTTCTTTGCTGTGTGGAAGCTTTTTAGTTTGATGTAGTCCCACTTATTTATTTTTGCTTTTGTCGCCTTTACTTTTGGAGTCAGATCCAAAACTTCAACACCCAGACCAATGTCAGGGAACTTCTGCCTGTGTTTTTTTTCTAGGAGTTTTATGGTTTCAGGTCTTACATTCAAGCCTTTAATCCATTTTGAGTTAATATTTGCATATTACCTAAGATAGTGGTCTAGTTTTGTTCTTTTGCATGTCGATATCCAGTTTTTCCCGACACCATTTATTGAAGATTGTCCTTGCTCCATTGTATATTCTCAGCTCCTTTATTGTAAATTAACTGATGATCATGTATGAGGGGTTTATTTCTGGACTATTTCTGTTCTCTTGATCTACGTGTCAGGTTTTATGCCAATATCATATTGTTTAATAGTTGAAATCAGAGAGCATGATACCTTCATCTTTGTTCTTCTTTCTGATATTGGAGGTTCATTTTGATCAAGGTAGTGTCTACCAGGCTTCTCCTCTGTAAAGTTAATCTTTTCCATTCTGTAATTAAGTTTTGTGTGGTGAAGTACTTTGAAACTATGCAAGTATTTTGTTCCTTATCAGATTTTCATTTCAGATTTCATTTACTCATTCATTTATTTGTATGAATGGATTAATGGTTTCCAGTTTGGTGGGTTATAAACTGTTACTATCATGTGTTTATTTTGATGTACAAATGATCCCTGATTTGACCAGTGAGAGTCTTTCAGGCTGGTTTCTGTGTCTTTCTAAAACGTCCCCATCATTTTTTGAGCAGTTCTAACTTTCTGTCATAATAAAATGTTCCAGGCTCATCTTGTCCTTTCTTTGCCCCATGTCTGGAATCAGCCATTTCTCCAAGGAGTCCTGGGGTTTTTCAGTGGAGAAGCATAGTTAGAAACCAAGATCTGAGTGCTATAAATAGCTATAAATATAAATAAATATAAATAGCTATACTCATTATATATAAATATATAAATAACTATACTCATTGCTATTAGGGTGTTGCTGCTCCTAGACCATGTCAGTGAACCAAGCTAGGAAATATATGTGTATACATATATACATATGTGCACACACATATATATAACACATTTGCATTTATATTTATTTGTATATCAGAATATATATTGAAAACTGTGAGTTCACAGCAGTACCTTCCATTCTATCCAGGTTCTCTCCCTTTTCATATTTATAACTTCCTTCTCTGATAGTAAGAAACCTGGCTTATATTCACCTTAGTCTATACCGTTATTTGGCCAGCGCCCCCATATGTAACCGTACTTTTATCTCTGTCATCACCCCCTTTCTGAAGCACATACTGTGCTCAGACCAGGAGGGCTCTGACAGACCCCTCTGAGAATATTTTGCACACGCTCTGAAGTATAGCTCCTAGTTTAATACTGTCTGCTCTAAATATTGAGGTCCAGTATATCTGTGAGGAGGGTGAGTTACAAAGGTTAGGCTTAGATATAATTTTATATCTTTATTGCATAAAGTAATTTTTTCTTGTAGGCTGTTTTAGTAAAAGAAAGTGAGAGAATAGAATCACTGTGACTTTGAAAATTATTAATTCTTTATTTTGCACTTAATTTATAGGTAAAATATAATCCAAGCTAGTATATAAGTGGATTTGTAGATTTTAGAGATTAAAAACAATGAAAAGAGATCACCCTTATACCCACTGCTCAGCTTAAGAAATACAGCATTACCAATACATTGAAGCGCCTCTTACGTGCCATTTTCTTTTTTTGTTTTTTCCTTATGTGCCATTTCCTGATTGTATTCCTGTCCCTCCTTCTGAGAGATAACCACTATCCAGGTTTGTGTATTCATCATTCCATAATAGCTTTTTTATTAATCTTTCTTTTGTAGATTGCTGTTGTGGCTGTGATGTGCAAACCCCACAGATGCCCACACATCAGTTTTACAGGAAATATATGCGTGTAAGTGTGGATGATTTCCATAAGTTGTGTGTGTGTGTACTTTAAATGAATTAGTTAATCCCCTAAAGTCTTAATCAGTGCATGCTGGTAATATTTAAAACTTTGATTCAGTAGATTCATAAGTTAGTTCTTTGAAACAAGCAGCCATTGATAGGATGTTTCACTGCTTTAAAAATGAGACATATAAAGATTTTAATATGTTGTAATAAAAAATACATAGGTTAGAGAACTCAACAGTGACAGTCTATTAACTTGATAAATGAAACATGGAAATATGGAGCTGCCTAAATTCTAAATGTCAGAAATCTAAAACAGGTTTGGATCAGAAAAGTATCAAATTAAAAAGTTACCCTTATAAATAACCTTTAAACTTCTTAAATTTAGATAATTGGAAAAATAGGCAGAAGAATATGCATGATTCTAGGTAAGAAGATTAAATGAGAGAAGGTTTTCTTCTTTTTTTTTTTTTAAGATTTTATTTATTTATTTGACAGAGAGAGAGAGGAGAGAGAGCACAAGTAAGCAGAGAGGCAGGCAGAGGGAAAGGGAGAAGCAGGCTGTCCGCCGAGCAGGGAGCCCGATGCGGGACTCGATCGCAGGACCCTGGGATCACGACCTGAGCTGAAGGCAGCTGCTTAACCAACTGAGCCACCCAGGCGCCCAAGAGAAAGGTTTTCTAAGTATAGTTACCAAGAGAGCACTGTATCATTCCAAACCTAGGAAGACTTAAATCCTGTTACTTCTTCCTAAAAGCTTAAACCTCTAAAATAACAGTGACTGCAACATTCTCCAAATGACTACAATAATGTTCCTTATATGTTTATTGTGTTTACTTGTTCATAGAAAATATATTAATTGTAATACTACAAAGATAGACTCTTCTGTTAGGATTTGAAAATGAAGCTTGTTTGCTCTCAGAATTTTAGGGAGACTGCAGATACTTGAACTAGACTGTTGAACTGAATTTTGTATCTGACATCTTTATTCTTTGGTTGTATTGACAGATACTGCCCTGGTGGACCTGATTCAGATTTTGAATATTCAACCCAGTCTTATACTGGATATGAGGTAAAGTAATGTAAGGTTGTCCTGAGGAAGTGTAACATCATACTTTACCTATAGTGTGCTTATACAAGTACTGGCTTTCTTAAATTTTATAATTTTTTATTTTCTCCTGATTATAGAAGTTGTTCATCAAATATTTGCTGAGTGTCTACATATATTGCTCTAGTCACTAGAAAAATACTTATATAAGCACTTGTTACATATATCAAACTATTCCAAGTGCTTTACAACTTTAAACCTTACAGCAGCATCTTGAAGTGAAGACACTGTTATTATCCTGGTTTTATGAATAAGGAAACAGGCTTAGAAGTCCTAAACATCTGGCCCAGAGACACACTGCTAATAAGTGACAGACCCAGGTTTTGAATTCTTTGTTCCTCGCTACATGATACTGCTTCTTCAGCGGTAGAAAATGGACGAAGTCCCTGATTTTATGGAATTTACATTCTAATAATGGGAGATAGACAAGAAAGAAGAAAATACCAGGTACTAGTAAATGTTAAGCTGAGAAGTAAAATTGAGTTAGATCTGTAGATGAGTAGATACTTTAGTCTTGGTGGTTGGGAAGTGACTGTCTGAGGAGATATTTGAACTGAGTCCTGAATGACATGAAGGAGCCATGCAGGAATATCAGAAGAGAGCATTCCCAGCAGAGAGAATCGCTAGAACAAGGAGCTGTAGCAGGAACGATAGTGGGGTGTACCAGGACTGAGTGGGTAGGGGAGGAATGACACCGGAGAGACAGATGACCTAGGAGTTTGTAAGCTGGGCAGAGAGTTTGGATTTTATTATAGGTGTCATGAGAAGCCATGATGGTTGAAGGCAGGGAGAGGGTCTGTTCCAGTGTAGGGTTTTAAAAGATCATTTGATGCTGTGTGGGTGAAGGATTAGAGTAGGGACAGGGTGCAACCGGGAGAACAGCAAACAGGCTTTTGAAGCAGTCAGCCTCTTCAGAAGAGGTCAGCAGCAGCAAACCACTGGACTTTTTCTTATATATGGCATTTCACTTTTTACTTGTTTTCCATTGTTCAAATTGTTAAAAATACAAAAGGAATTATTCGGTGAAAAGGCTCCCTCTCATTTCTGTCCCTTAGCCACCCCTTTCTGCTCCAGCAGAAAGTGACCCTGGAGATTTCATAAGTGTTTACACAAAGATAAATATGATTCAAGGAGATGCCCTGCTGTTCAGATACTTAAGACAGTGGGGGTAGAGACTAGCCAGATGCTATTCAGAACATTATTTTGATCCCTAACAAGACTGAAGAAGGAAGGAGCACAAGAGGATTTTATTTTTAATACAGTCCTTTAGAAATTATTTTTTATTTTTTATTGAATGTGGGCCCAGCAGGAGATTTTTCTCTTTTTTTCTTAGCCAACCTCCATGCGAGCTATCCGTGCTAGATATGACCCTTATCTACAGACAAGACACCGAATAGAACAGGTAAGTTTTTAAAAAGCATTTTTAAATTAGATTTTTGTAGACAGAAGGTATTATTGTTTGATTTGAGTTGAACCTGAAATAACTAAAAGAGTGTCCTTCCCCTCAGTAAGTTTTTAATATCTATCTGAAGGAGGGAGACTGTTTTGCAATACCCAGCAAGGTCAGAAACACTACTTCCTTTAGAGACTGTATTATTTTCTTTAAGGGTCTTATAGTCTCTAAATTTCTTTCAACTTGTACAAACTCATTTACCATATGAAATTTACAGATGTAGATGCGTGGAAGTTCTTAGACAGTAAGTGGATGGATTGAATTTTTGCTTCCATAAGCCACATAAGAAGTATTGTGCCTGGTTTGCCAGGTTGGGAATAGGGAATTGACTGCAAAAGGGTATGAGGAACTCCTGGGAGTCGTGAAATTGTTCTATATCATGACTGTGGTGGTAGTTACACAACTCTAAACACTTACCCAGACTCATCCAGTTGTACACTTAAAAATTAATTGATTTTAGTGTATGTAAATTATACTTCAATATAACTGATTAAAAACAAGTGCTTTGTAAATGGTCTTGCTCTGTTTGGGAAATCTGAACATTAATATAGTTTTTCTTTCTGAAAATTCTATTTTGAACTTAATTTTAAAAAGTGTGAACACTTAACTTTTACCGTGACATCTCGTAGGGCAACTACAAAATCTCCAATGGAAAGTAGTACATCCATAGTCATTAAGTCATTTCTAGTCATTTCTAACTAGTATTAGTGAATAGCAGCCAACTCAGATTTTTCACTTCACTGTCACCCAAGCACATGTGGATCAGGATTGTCAGCTATAGGAGAGGACCCCACCTGGGTGGAACCTACAGAGTTTAGAAAAGCATGTTCTAAACTGCCCATTGCTTCAGTTTCTTTTTTAACTGTGGTATTTAATTCATTTAAAATGATGTACTGTATGGTGACTTAACATAACATAATAAAAAAAATTAAAAATAAAAATAAATAAATAAATAAAATGTTTCAATAGCATATGAAATTTTTATGTTTACCAAAAAGGGAATGGGTTTTAAAAGATTTAGAAACTACTATAGAACAGTGATTCTTTTCTTAACTGTAAATGCACTAGAATCACCTGAGTATCTTTTCCAAAACATGCCAGCATTTCACCTCTGGCATTCTGATTAAGTGTGGTTTAGGGTACTGGCAAGATATTTTGAAAAAGCTTCCAGAGTGATTTTGTTGTGTATCCCTTATAAACAATCATAGATACAGAGCTTTCTTTTAGTGTGTGTGCAACTTACATATATACTTAAATACATATCTGCACGTGTATGCATATGCATATGTATGAATATGATTTACATACATAAAGATATACATATGTATAAATTATTTGCTGTTTTCAGAAACAAACATTTTAAAAGATGCCTTTTTGTCCAGGTTAAGTGTAGACATCCTTTACATAGTGCCTTAATTTGAGTTCATAATTTGGTAGTCTACTTGACGCAGTTTTTCTCAAGCCTAAGATATGGCAAGAATTTTTTTTTTAATTGAAGTGTAGTTGGTGCACAATGTTACATTAGTTTCAGGTGTCCAGCCTAGTGGTTCAACATTTCTATTTGTTATGCTGTGCTCACCACAAGTGTAGCTACCATCACTCACTATACAACACTGTTACAATAACACTGACTATATTTTCTATGCTGTACCTTTTATCCCCATGACTTATTCTTTTTGTAACTGGAAGCCTGTATCTCCTACTGCCCTTCACCCATTTTGTCCATCCACTCACCCACTTACCTCTGGCAACCATCAGTGTGTTCTCTGCATTTATGGGTCTACTTTTTGTTTATCTGTTTTTGTTATTTATATTCCACATATAAATAACATAAATGAAATCATATGGTATTTGTTTTTCTCTTATTCCACTTAGCACAATATGCTGTAGTTCCCTCCATGTTATTGTAAATGGCAAGATCTCATTCTTTTTTTATGGCTGAGTTATATTCCATTGTGTGTGTGTGTGTGTGTGTGTTATATATATATATATATATATATATATATAGTGCATCTCCTTTATTTGTCTATCAGTGGACACTCAGGTTGCTTTTATATCTTGGGTATTGTAAATAATGTAATTATTTACAAATAATTGACTAATGTAAATAAACGGAGGAGTGCATATATCTTTTCAAATTAGTATTTTTGTTTTCTTTGGTTAGATACCCAGTAGTGAAATTACTGGCTCGTACTGATTTTCTATTTTTAATTTTTTGAGGAACCTAAGGAATTTAAATATGTTTTTAAAATTTAGAATCTTGCTTATTATAGCAAATGACAAAATGAAGAATCTGTACCATTCTCTCCTAGTAGAGAGAGAATATTTCATGTTTTATCAACCAGACTTTTCCTTTTTTTTCCCCAGAGAGCAGTGCCACTCCACCTGTGCTCATAATCTTCATAATTGATTTAAAACTTTAAAGTTTTGATTTAAAACTACTTTCTTAATTTTTCTTTCTAATGTAGTGTTCTTTTTCTTCCATTGGCATCAAGTCCTGATTATGTTTCATATAGTCATCTTTTTTTTGTCCCAAGGCTTACCGCAAGTGTTCTGACAAAAAATACATAATCATAAATATTCGTTTATTATATTACATATTATATTGTTATTATATTTGCCCTTCCTGCTTTCTAGCTTATATTCCATGTGTTTTTAAATTTCCACATAGATATTGATGTCAAGCTTCTTGCTGATTCTTTTTAATTCTCCCTTTCCCTCCATGAGCTATAATTTTTTTTTCTTTCAGACTCTGGAGTCTGTTTTTTCAATCCACAGAATTCACTAAATATGTTGAATTGCTTTTCATTTTTAAACTATATCGATGAAAACACTACAAAATAAAATTAGAAATTTGCAGTGCCTTCTTAGGATAGTTGACTATATATGTCTAATACTAATGAATTTATATGTATTTCAGTTAAAACAACTTGGTCACAGTGTGGATAAAGTGGAGTTTATTGTGATGGGTGGAACATTTATGGCCCTTCCAGAAGAATACCGAGATTATTTTATTCGAAATTTACATGATGCCTTATCAGGACATACCTCCAACAATATTTACGAGGCAGTCAAGTAAGAAATCCTTATTTTACCATATTCTCCAGAGTGGTTGTCAGCTTATCGTTCCAGCCGCAGCCTGTGAGAATTCCTTCTGCTCTACATCTATATTCCTAGTTCTTTTTTGGCGGGGGGGTGGGGATTGGGGTAAAAGGGGTAGATTTTGTTCTCTTTATTTGCATATTTTTGATGGGTTATAATTAAAATACATTTTTTTCTAGTTTATTGAGATATAATTGACATACAGTATTGTAAAAGTTTATGGTGTACAGCATAAGAACTTACATATATTGTGAAATGGTCTCCACAGTCAGCTTAGTTAGCATCCATCGCCTTACACATTCCTAGTTCTCATAGTTACATCTATTTTGTGGGAAAGGATTGTTTTCATTGAAAAAATTATTTTTTTTTTAAATAAGTGTGTATGGTTCGTTGACATTAGTTTCTCTGAGAGTGATTCATAAAATCACTGAAGGTTTTTTTCAACCTTAGGCTGGTCTAAACTACAGGAGTAGTTTTGATTTGACTAGTTGAGCTTTCAGCCCACTCAAAAAGAGCCCTAGGGGTACACTTTATGTAAAACATCTGGCTGCCATGAAATCAACAAAACAAGTGATTATTATTTAATAACTTAATAACTAAATAATTTCTGTTCATGAATGAGATGACTTATTCATTGTTGACAAAAGAGAATTATACATTCTTTTGATATCATATCTCAGTTTTTAGCAAGAATACTAACATTTTATATATATAGTTCAGTTATTTAAAAAGTAAGTCTTAAAAGTAGTTTTTATTTTCAGAAGTTTCAGGAAAACCTAGACCTAGTTAATTACCATATACTATTCCCTCTTTTTTGCCGAATGTTTATGGAGGTCCCACTAGGTGCTGTGTATTGATTTAGGCACTGGGAATAAGAAGGATGTTGTCCTTGCCCTTGTGGTGCTTATTTCTACTAGTTCAACACATAAACAGGAATGCTATGGTAGAAATAGGCTATACTATGATAAAGAATAAGTTTATTCTCTAGACAAAGTGGTAAGATTTAATCTGAGACCCGAAGTATAAGGAGGAATCAGGCCAAGAGCAGAAAAAAATAAGACAAAGGCACTGAAATGGGGAAGATCTTGGAGTCTTCTAGGAACAGAGAGGAGGCCAGTGTGGCTAGACTCCAGTGAACAATGGAGAGCATGTCATAAGGTGAGCTTGCAGAGATATATATATGGGCCAGAGAATATAATGCTTTTGAGGAGCTAAAATTGAATTTGAAATGCAGTAGGAAGTAGATGAATGGTTTTAAGCAGGAAAGTGACACATTCAGGTTGATAAGAAGGTCATTCTGTCTATTGTCTGGCTAATGGGGAAGCGGATTACAAGAGTAAAAGTGAGAAGCCAGATAGAAGACTATTATATCCATCATAGTTCAGTTGAGGGTGGTGGCAGTAATGATGGAGAAGAGGATGGATTAGAATTCTGTTTTATTGCTACAAAAGACAGGACTTTGGATTGGGTTGAGGGTAAGAAAGAGGAAGGAATCAAGCATGATACCCACCTTTTGGTTATAAGACATGGTTGATGGGTGGTGCCATATGCTGAGATGGAAAAGACAGAGGGAAGAGCAGGTATATGGGAGAAAACCAAGAATTTTACTTTGGATATGTTAAGTTTGAAATACCTAAGATACATTCAAGTGGAGATTCAGGTAGACTACACAAGAGACATGTGGGCTGGCAATGCAAAATTGGGGATTATCAACCTATACATGGCATTAAATGCCATGCAGATGAATAAGATCACCTAATATGGGAGAGTTACTGGTCTCTGAGGTATACTGTGTGAGAAAGCAATTTTTAGAGCAATTCTTACAGTATGGATTCCATTATTTTTGCACATGCACATAAATGTAAATGCATGGGAATGTAAGCACATGGAAATGTGTGTAAATGCTTAGAAAATGTAAATGCATGGAAGAGGTAGTAGAGTGATGATTATTATGGGCATTAGAGCTGAGGAGGAAGGGACATGGGAGGTGGGGGTAAAGGAAGACATTCATGTTTACTCTGTATATCATGTGCTGGGCAGTGTGATAAGTATTTATTCATTTGTTTAAAACTCACAGTAAACCTTTGAGTTAAGTATTTATTTATTTATTTTTAAAGATTTTATTAGAGAGCACGAGACAGCACAAGCAGGGGGAGGGGCAGAGGGAGAGGGAAAAGTAGGCTCCCAGCTGAGCAGGGAGCCCCATATGGGGCTCGATCCCAGGACCCCCAGGATTATGACCTGAGCTGAAGGCAGACCCTTAACCAACTGAGCTACCCAGGCACCCTGAGTTAAGTATTTGAATTATCCCTGTTTTTACAGGTGAGGAAACTAAGGCACAGAGATTAGGCAACTTGTCAAAGTTACACAGGTAGTTTGGCGGCCAAGTGGGGCTGTGAAACCAGGCAGCTTTGCTTTCAGAGCCCGAACTTTGCTATAATGCAAGAAACTGTGCTAGGTATAAAAATGTATGAGAGTGTGTGTCTGTGTGTATATGAGCACACATGCGTGTACCTCATCAGAACTTCAAAATACTGGAAGAAATAATATCTCTCTGGAGTTTTTTTACACTCCTCTTCCTGCCTTCAGGCTTTTTTCTGGCTTCTCTTTTATATTGGGGAGGGAGGGTCACTTAGCTAATACAAAGTTGTTCAAATAGTGCCCCTCTTAGAGAATTTTTTATAGAGTAGTAAGTGCAACCAAAGTTTGAATGAACCTAAGGGTGGTTTTCGTTGCTCTGTAAATAAAATGGTTCTTAGCACATAGTAGCCATAAGTAAATGTGTGAATGAATTTTGAATGAGTGATCAATCTGTAGGTCAATACTGACAGCTAACGACTTAAGTAGGGCAACCTCTTAGAATAGGGACATCTTTTCTGTCCTTCCTACTTTCCCTATCCCCTGAGCTATCAAGGGTATCTGGAAGGATATGTATAAAGAGTTCAGCAATTGCGAGAGTGTGTGAGGAACCTACTTTGGTTGCTTCTAGAGAATGTGATGGGTTAATTCTGTGTCCATGAATCTAGACTTTTAACAACAGCTGGATGGTGTGATCTCTTCCTCCTACAGGATCTTTAATAGCAAGATGAGATGGTGACCATATTTTTACTGCTTATTCAAAACCTTGATCATTCATGAATGTAAGTCATGCTTAGTAAAACACTGAAGTCTTTGAAACTTTAGAGGAATAATGATGTAATCTAACCCATTCTTCTTAATACTGAAAATCAGATGATAGCTTAGAATAAAATGTAAGTTGAGGGGAAACAACATTAATTAGTTCAAAGCCCCATGACATTGAAATGGCAATACTGACTAAAATTCATTTAACTCTGAGAATTCCCTAACAGGATAATCTATCAAGACCATTGATTTTTTCTACCCACACTTAGATATTATATGCTCTTTTCTCAGTGCAGCTATTTCTCATGTTGAAGACCTTGTTTACTGAGTGGAATTGAGTATACTCTCTTGGACTTGCCCCACTGACCCAACCTCCATAAAAGTTTGCCATAAAGCTTTTCACAGTCTATAGTTTGGGGGGTCCCTTGGGTCATATGAGCTAGGTTAACTGAAGATCTGCATAATGAATTTTTAGGATGCAGCTAGTTTGACATTTTTATCTGTTGAAACTTTAAAATTCTTGCTTTATTCTTGGTGTAAAGTTTTAGCTTTATTTTTGCAGAAATGTTTAGTGCCTTTGTAAGTTGTCTGTTGTTGGGGTAAAAATAGAGTTTGTATTATAACTGTCCAGCTTCAGATCATGATATGTTTGTAGAAAAAGTCTGTTGGAGAAGAAAGCCTCTTTCTGTAATTGACTAGGCCAAGCCAGCATTGTTTTGTTTCTGTTCTTGAATTTACCTCAAGAGGGCAACAAACTCTTTACTTCCAGATGAAAATTTATATATGATTTGAGTCTTCATTGCAACAGATTTCATGAATGGCTCTCGAGAAGTAATAAAAGTACAATTTGGGAGCCATAAAATCATCCGTAAATGTTACACTGAATCATGCCAACCCACATTTGACATATTTTGTTCTTTTCTCCTGGTCTCTATACTTTTATGAGATAATCTGGAAAAAGCTGATTTGTGGCATCCTGTTTGTTTTGTTGAGGTAAATTTTTTGCTACTAACTCCCTACAATAAAAATGGTATTTAGTTTTTTGGGAAATGTTCTATAGTTTAAAGAAATAGCAGTCTGGTTTGTACTATAGAACTAGAGACTTAGAAAACCATTTTCAAATGTTAACATTTTGTGAAATAAAGAGCAGCCCAGAGATACTGTGTTTTGGACATAATGTGTTTCTTCAGAATTTTTGGATGAGCTGTTTACCTCTCCGTTTTCTATGTTCTCTTGCCCCGAGGGTATTTGTGAAGACTGGCTGGGTTACCCAGTGTGGCTGACCTTTCTCAGATGTAAAGTAATGAGCTTCATGTTTGTTTTAGTATTAGTTGCTATTAGTTGTTTGTTATTGCTGAATACAAATATGCAATACTAACTTTCATTAGCATAGCAGAGGTTTTAATTTAAAAGATTAATTTTAAAATTAGGTTAAAAATTACATAGTGACAGATGAGTCCATAATGTTTAAGGTTAAAAGTCTTCATTCAAATTGCAGTAAGCTCGTGTTACCCTCCTTTGTTACCCAGTGTCTAACCTGATTAAAGTTTAAGCCATATTTAAACCTGATTAAACCTGATTTAAACCTGATTAAAGTTTTGCTTTTTACTTAAAACGTTAAAAGTTAAGGTAAGGAAAAGCCCCCAAAGTGAACCTGGTTATTATTTACAGCAAATAGAAAAATTGGAAAGCTGAGTCAAAGAGTTCAAGGACAAAGCAGGTGTGGTTTCTGTGAAGGCACATTAAATCAAGCAAAGTGATAATCACTCATTTCTGTCAGCGAGACTGAGACTTCAGTTGTCTACAGAGAGCAACAATTACTGGTGACTGTTGTCCTCTAAAAATCATAG